CCCCCCCCCCCCCCCCCCCCCCCCCCCCTCGCTCTACCTACAGACACCAGCAATAGACCGAGTGATCAGCTAAGTCAGTGCGGAGAAGCACTCTGTTTTAATTTACTTCCTGCAGTTTGTTCTCTGCGTGCCTGCTCCCTCCACCTCAAGCATGATCTCTGCGATGTTTTTGATGTCTGCCTCTGCCGCGTCTCTCCATTTCCTGCACTATTTCGCCTCTCTGCGTTTCAAGCGCTTCATTTTTCTTGTCTGGATTACGGTTGGGCCAACGTGTAGTCCCGTTGCCTTTCACTCTTGTTCCCCCTTGCCCTATGTCCCCTCCCGCCCCCTCTTCGCTCGTAAGAAAGATGTATGTGTGTGTGCGCCTTCAGACAGTGAGTGTTCTTCTAAGTGTGCTATTTGTTGTGTGTGTGTGTGTGTGCGTGCAGTCTGTCGTCTCGAGATTTTACGCCTGTTGAAATTTGAGGCTGAGCGAACATAGCTAGCAAGTAAACAAGGCAGGGCAAGACACGTGCTTCCTCTGCCGAGAGTGAGGCAGTGAGGCAAAAGAGGAGAGGGGCGAGAGGGAGGTGTTTTTGTGCTTTCTTCGGCGGAAAATGTTTATTTTTTTAACAAAAAAAAAATTAAAAAGCGAGTTTTACACAGAAACTGAGGCAGGCGCTCCGCTGGAGTCACTTATCGCGGTTTTCAAGAACTAACCCATGGGCAGGACAACTTTTTGTTGTTACCGCTTCTGGAACCAGAAGCGGTAACTCATGTTTTCGGGGTTTTTTTTTGTTTCCGAGAAAGTCATGTTTTTAGTAACGCTGCACGCATTTTTTCTTTTTTTGCACTGGTTAAAAAAACAAAAATTTTTTTTTCTCCGAAGCCACAGATTGAGTGTGTAAGGACGATACCGAACTTCGCTTAGTCGAAAAGCTGTTCCCCTCAACAATCTTGTTGCCGACATTTTGAACAGAACCGCGGTATTTCAAAGAATAAGGCAACCTCCTTGCTGCTAATTTTGGGTTTCCTGTTGCAAATGGGGAAACGCAAAAGAGGTCAACACAGATCATACTTTTTATGCGTTTTTGCTTATACGTAAATTGCAAAAACGCATATTGGGAAGAGGCTGTCTGTGTGTGTGTGTTCGCGCTTTCTGTTACTCACTTTCAACTCGAGAACCAGAAGAGCTAGAAGGCTGAAACTTTGGGAATATGTGCCTATACCATGCGCGACCCTCCCGTTTTAATTTTATCCCCCGTGGACGCCTGGGTGCCGCTTACAGACGCTTTAAAAAAATATGCAAATTCTTTGGTGGGAAAGCGATCTCGGGAACCACATGAGCTAAAGGGCTGAAACTCTGTAGGGATATTCCCTGTGCATGTACTAGCTAAAGATTTCAAATTCAGCTTCCA